CCCCAAAACCCCAAAACCCCAAAACCCCAAAACCCCAAAACCCCAAAACCCCAAAACCCCATTATCAGAGCATAAATTGATTTTTAATTATATGCTGAGCTGGATATTTCAGAGTCTTATAAGCGAAAACAATCTTCTAGCCCATGCATAACCCCATATAAAGCCTTCTAAGACTCAGTGTCCCCAGTATTTACTCCCAGTAGCATCTGTGTGCTTGCCCCTCCCGATACATCCGTTTTCTCATGATACAGCGATACCCTTCTAGTTTGAGTGATTTCTCTATGGCACCTCTGAAGTCAGCATGACTGTCAGAATTATCTACTCTAATACTACTAAAGCTGCTGGAATACTAACAAGAGTTGCTGTTCATTAACATACTTATCTATATAGCTTTTACAATGCTGGGGTGCCAACGGTGGAGGTTATAACTCTCCCTTGGACTTAGCGCCGGCCACCATATTCATCATTCTCTCAAACTCATCAAACGAGATTTCTCCGTCTCCATTGTCGTCAACCTCGGAAATCATTTTGTCAGCAACTTCTTCGTCAAGGTTGCCCAGAGCCTCTCTGATTTCTTGCTTGGAAATGGTTCCTGAATTGTCTTTGTCAAACATTTTAAAGGCCTGTTTTAGCTTTTCTTTTGACATCAGCTGCTGCTCGTTCATGGTGGCCATCAAAAACTCTGAGTAATCAATGGCTCCACTTCCGTCTGTATCAATGGCGCTAAATATCTTGTCCAACTCTTCGTCATCAATTGGAATTCCGAAGTGTTCTTCATATCCCTCGCTGATTTCTTCTTTGCTGAGCATTCCGTCGTTGTTCTTGTCCATGGCTGCGAAGATCTCCCCCATTTTGTCTGTCTCTTCCTTGGTCAAGCACTGCGACACAATGAAAGCCAGTGTTGCCTGCTTTAGTTTTTGCTCTGCCCTGAAGTTCTTGAGGTTGCTGAGAGCTTTTGATGCTAGCGATTTCTTCACTTTCTCTCCTTTTGCAAACTTCTTGAACCATGGATGTTCGAGGGCTTCAGAAGCGCTAATCCTCTTTTCTGGGTCGTAAGTCAGGCATTTCTTGACTAAGTCAATAGCTTCACTTGAGACGTCGTCCCACTCGGGTTCGTCAAGAGTGTAGACTCCTTTCTTGACAGCATCAATAATTTTCTTGTCTTCAGAACCATTGAAAGGAGGGTAGCCAACGAGCAAAATGTAGAGAATGACTCCCAAGGACCAAACATCGCATTTTTCATTATAACTCTTGTTTAGTACATCTGGAGCAATATAATAAGGTGTTCCATATCTCTCTTCCATCTTGCTTTTTCCGCCTACTTTGTATTGTTGGGCAGTACCAAAATCAATAATCTTAATCTTCATGCTATTTCTTTCCTCCTAAACTCTCAGAAGTCACATTGCTCTCGAGCAACAGATTCTCAGGCTTAAGGTCTCTGTGGACAACATCGTTAGCGTGACAGTAGTTGATGCCTCTGAACACTTGCTGCATGATGTTGGCAGCGTCTTTTTCAGTGAAGTCTCCATAAAAATCTTCGTCGGTGATCTTCTCAAAAAGCTCTCCGCCAGTCAAAAACTCCATAATAATGTAATAATACTTTTTGTCTTCAAAAATTTCGTAGAGCTTAATGATGTTCTGGTGGTCCAGTTGTCTCAGGATTTCTGCTTCGTTCTTGAGCTTCTTTCTTTCATCTTCAGCTAGAGCTTTCTTCTTGATGATTTTAACTGCCCTTAACTCCCCTGATTCACGTACATATCATTTACGTACTTCTCCATATGCTCCACTTCCGATTTTACGAGTGATCTTGTAGACTTCTTTAATTGGTCCTTCGTTCTTGTGCTTGAATATTGATCCTGAAATTTTAACATCGGACAAAGCCGAGGAAATCTTTTTCTCTTCTTCTGGATCCATGTTGATTACTACGAAATTAATTATATACTTTGTTCTATATTTAATTTAAGGTTCGGGGTTTTGGGGTTTTGGGGTTTTGGGGTTTTGGGGTTTTGGGGTTTTGGGGTTTTGGGG